GTGGGTGGATGGGCAGAGGGATGGGCAGAGGGATGGGCAGATGGATGAAAAGATGGAAGAATGGTTGGATAGATGAATAAATAGATGGTGGAAAGTAATAAAAGAAGGAGGAAGGGAGGGGAGGATGGAAGGAAGGGAGACTAGATTTTGGGTACTATGGTATGGTTTTTAGTTTTAGTTTTGAGGAGTTTTTCAAATCTGCTTTCCAAGAATGATTTTTCCTCCTTCCCAGGAGAGGAGAAGGATTCCGTGCCTGTGGCTGTCTCTTTGGTGACAAAGAGAACCAGTGATATCCTTATCAGTGGGTATCGTTCATGTTGGGGCGGTCTAGGAGTGAGAAATGATGCTGCCATCATCTGTCTTTATACTTTTTGTCTTATCAAATGGTAAAATTTTAAAAGCGGATAATACCAAGTGTTGATGAGGATGTGGGGAGACAGACAGGCTCCTGTTTGTCAACAGCTTTCTGTTTCTCCTGGGTTTGTGCATAGGAGTTCTCCTTGGGGTGAGAGAGGTCAGTCGTGTGTCCCAGCCGTCACTATACACTACACATCATTCCCTGCCTCAGCTCCATCATCCTAAGAGAAGACTGGGTCCCAGCCATAGCTCATCCAAGGGAAAAGGAGACAGAAACTCTTAGGAGTGGAGTGGGGGTGGAGCAACCCACTCCAGCCAGTTTCCCCCTCCCTGGGGTCCTTACCTTTCCAGCCAGCTGCACCTGGGCCCCCTCCCCCTGCAGCCTCCTCACCACTTTCAGGGAGGTGCTCTCAGGAAGCACAATGGTGACAGGGATGCCCAGCTTCCGAGCGGCGTAAGCGGCAGCAATGCCTGCATTACCCCCTAGGGAGGCAGTGGAGAGCAGTGGGCAGTGATGTGTCAGTCTGCTGACATGCTTCCCCCTCCCCCCATTTTCCTTCGGAAGTCACTCCTCCCCCATTCTCATATGTCTTGCCATTGACTCCTCGTCCTGGCTCCAGAGGTGGACACATGATCCAGATAGAGTCAATAGATAACTCAGTTTCCTGTCCTGTGATAGGTTCAGGAATGAGTACAGAACCCAAGCTGGACCAAAAAGACCAATTCTAGGATTAAGGGTAACCCTCAAGAAGGGGTGCTTTCTTCACTAAAGTTGGTAGGAGGGTAGGATGCAAGTCTGGAACTCCAGGTGGTCATCTTGTTACCATAAGGTCAGCATGAGAATGAAGCTAACATAGAGGAAAACAAAGCCAAGAGGAGAGATATAGAGTAGAGCCCCTGGATCCAGCCATGCCTGAAAGCCACTTATCCCAGAACTTTTCAGTTCTTAAAGCCTATTAATTCCTCTTTAGCTTAAGCCTGTATGAATTGGGTTTCTTTTGTTTGCTACCATGAGTGCTGAATAATGGAAAGGGAGAGGATATATGAGCGGCCCATCTCAAGTCATGAGCTTGATGAGGATGGACCCTTAAGAGAAGACCAAGCCCTGAATATCAACTGCTGCTCCAGCAAGATCCTCCTCCCCTATCTACAATCTTGAGGACCCCCATGAAGCAGAAAGGGGTAGGTCACCTGAGGAGCACACCAGGTGTCTGCATCCCTTCTTGGCAACCTGGGAAGAGAAAGGAGAGGGTTGGGGGCTGACCCAAGCAGGTGTCAGAAAGTCTGTGTGGACAGTTTATAAAGACAGTGTTCTACATTCTACCTTGGTGAGTAGTGTCTGGGGTCTTAAAAGCCTATGAGCAGCCATCTAAGATATTCCAGTGGTCTCATCCCTTCGGGAGCAAGGGAGAATGAAGAGAACAGGATACAAGGAAAAGATTAGTCCAAAGGACTAATGGACCACAGCTACCAAGGCCTCCACCAGACTGAGTCCAGTACAGCTAGATGGTGCCTGGCTACCACCACTGACTGCTCTGACCAGGATCACAACAGAGGGTTCTGGACAGAGCTGGAGAAGGATGTAGAACAAAATTCTAACTCACAAAAGAAAGACCAGATTTACTGGCCTAAAGGAGACTGGAGAAACCCCGAGAGTATGGCCCCCAGACACCCTTTTAGCTCAGTGGTGAAGTCATCTCTGAGGTTCACCATTCAGCCTGGGAGTGGACAGCCCCATAAAACCAAATGGGACTAATGAGGTACAGCAGTCCAGGGACAAGGGTCAGAAGGCAGAAGGGGACAGGGAAGCTGGTGATAGGGAACCCAAGGTTGAGTAAGGATAGTGTTGATGTGTTGTGAGGTTGTTAACCATTGTCATAGGGCAACATGTGTACCAACTGTTAAATGAGAAACTATTGTGTTCTGTAAGCCTTCATCTAAAGTGAGAATAGCAGCACAATTGGAAGAGCGTGGTCGATGTCACTGAACTGTGCATGTAGAAATTTTTGAAAAGGTGTATTTTGGCTATGTACATTTTCACCAAAAAAAAAAAAAGGTCGAGAAGGGAGAGGGTTGACATGTTGTGGGGTTGTTAACCAATGTCATAAAACAATATGTGTACTACTGTTTCATGAGAAACTATTTGTTCTGTAAGCCTTCACCTGAAGTACAATAAAAAAAAGAAAAAAAAAAAGTCTGTGTGGGATGGAGCCAGACCCCCAACAGCCCTCACCCCCACACTGCCCAAAGCCCTCCCTTCCCATCTGCACAAACTCCATTCTCCTCTCCTGCCTTCATCCCCATCCAGTTCACACCCTTCACCCCTCCCCTCCCACCAGTACAACCTCACCTCTTCCCTCCTGTCCCCACCCCCTCACCTCCTGGCAGAAATGCCCGATGCCCCGGATCTTGAAGGAGCCGGTCTGCTGCACGTTCTCACACTTGAGGAGGACGGTCATGCCCGCCACCTGGGACAGTGTCCAGCTCTCCAGCAGAGGCGTGACCCTGTGGAACCGCTCACCCATCAGGGAGCTCTCCATGACAGCAGCCACCCAGAGCACCTGCAGGAGGACACAGATGTCAAAGCCCAGGCGGCTCCAGCCAAGAGTCCCCTTACCCAGGACAGAGGACGGGGAGGTGGAGAAGCCCCCAGCTTAGGCTACCTCAGCCCTGCCCTGCTACCAGGCTGTGAGACTACAGGCAATTACCCACTCCCCCTGAGCCTCAGTTTCCCCATCTGGACAAGGGGCCCTTTCATTCTGTAACTGCAGCTGCCCATGTGCTAAGGATGTAGAATGTGGCCCACACATGGTGATGAATGAATGTACACCTACTATGTGCTAGGTGGTTCCGGATCTGGAGTCCCAGTGATGGACAAGCTTTGCCTGAGTTCACATTCTAGGTGGGGAGACAGGCCACAGAATTTCTGATGAGTGACTGGGTGTGAGGGTGTTATTTTAGTGAGGATGGTCAGGAAAACCTCACTCAGGAATAAAACTTTTAAAAATATTATGGACAAGGGGTAAACAAAGCCCTACTTTTCTCTCTGGGCCGAAAAACCATGGACCAGTCCCGCAGTTCCACTGATGGCCACGAGGGGGAGCGCTGCAGTATTCCTACCCACCTACCCACAAAACAAAACAAAACAAAACCCATTGCGGTGGAGTCGATTCTGACTCATAGTGACCCCAAAGGACAGAGTAGAACTGCCCCATAGGGTTTCCAAGCAGCAGCTGGTGAATTCGAACTGTTGATCCTCTGGTTAGCAGCTGTAGCTCTCAACCACTACACGACCAGGTTTCCAAGCTTTTTGTCGGCCCTCAGTCAAGGCTGGGGTCTCCCCATCAGAGTGGTCCAGTCCTCCCGCCCCTAGATCTGATCCCATTCCCTTGTCAGGGTAGCCTCAGGACTCCCCAGGTAGGGCAAAGCCTGAGCCACCTCCTCCCAGTTCCATCAATCGCACCTCCCGGTCTGGGCATTAGTGCGGGGGGCATGGGTCTTCACTCATTCCCAAAGGCAGCATACCATGGCCCAGGCCTCCCCTTGGCCCTGGAAACCAAGTGCATGGGCTTTGGGGACAAGCAGAGACCAAAGTTAGAGGCCAGCTCTGACTGTATGACCCAGACAAATATCTCAACCTCTCTGTGCCTCCATTTCCCCTTCTGTAAAATGGGAATAATAACAGTTCCTAATCACTCAGGCTGAGTGATATGGAGATGTTATCTCTAACGTCTGGGCTGAATAGTTTAGAGACGTTGTCTCTGTGGGACCTTCGTATGCCTCACTCTAGCATCTACAGAGGAGATCTATGCAGCTCAGGCTCTGTCCTAGGCACTGGGGTACTATGGTAAGCAAGACCAAGTTTTCTCTTAGAGCTGATTTATAGTCTGAGGGGGGAGATCAGCATTTAACCAATAACCATGTAGACAAACAAAATAATTAGAAATGGTGAAAACTGCTAAGAGGGAAACAAATATATAGGGATCTGTGAAGGGGAAGAACCAGGGGACCTAATTTGGGTAGGGAGGTCAGGAAAGGCCTGAGAATGAATTACCCATACAACAAACTGGAAGAAGGGCTTGTGCATCACAGGGTCGTTGGGAGGATTAAATGAGGCCATAAAAGCACCGACTCTGTGCCTGACATACAGGATGTGCTCGGTAAATGGTGGCCTTTGTCATCATTTCAAAGTCACAATGATTGCGATAACAGCTAATAGCAGTGTGCCACTTACCGTGAGCCAGACGCTGTGCCAAGCACCTTCTGTATTATCTCATTTAATCCCCACAACAACCCTATGAGGTAGGTTGTATTACTACCTCCATTATATAGACAGTGAAACTGAGGCCCAGAGAGGTGAAGTAACTTGTCCAAGGTCACAGAGCTAGAAACGGCACAGCCAGGATTCAAGCGCAGACAGTCTGGCTTTGGCATCTGTGCTTCTAACCACTATGCGTACTTCCCTTTATTATTATTATTATAGTTAGTAATTAGTTGCCAGTTGTCCTTGGAGCCAAATGCTCCTAGTTCAACACACAGCCCTCTTGGTAATACTGACCACCCACAAAAGGACAACAGGCATCAGTTAAATGAGCAACCCCAAGTTGCCAACAGCCTTGTCAAGCCCAGACCCCACCAGGGGCCCAGGCCCTCCAGACCTTGCTGGCCGAAGTCAGGGAATGCGTGCTTCCCAGGCTGAGGTCTCACCGTGTGAGATAGGCCCTGGGGCTGAGCTGGGAGCCCTGGGCACCCCTTGATGTGAAGTAAAGGGCTGGGAAGCACGGGCTCTGGGTGACCTCTCTGTGCCTCACTTGCCTCATCCGTGAAATGGGGAGAGGCCTCTTTTGTTTTCAGAGTGTTTGGGTGGCACAAAAGTTCCAAAAGACTAGCAGTTTGAATCCACCCAGAGGTGCCTTGGAAGACAGGCCTGGCAATCTGTTTCTGAAAGTTCACAGCCTTGAAAACCCTATGGAGCAGTTCTGCTCTGCACACGCAGGGTCTCCATGAGTCGGAATCGAATCGAGGGCAGCTGACAACAGCACCCTTTCCACCTACCTTGCCCCCCACCCTCACTCCCTTTCAGTCCCCGGGGCCTTTCCCCACAGGCCATCTGGGTGACACTCTGTGGCCAGATCCCTGGCACCAGGACTGGGAAATCCTGGGCTGGCCCTTGGCTGGCAGATTGCCTGGCCCCCACCCCTCTGGCCAGCAGGACCTGCTCCCCAACCCTCAGGGTCCCTGGTGCCCACATTCTCCAGAGCAGGCAGGGCACAGGGTACCCTGAGTTGTCCCAAGGTTCCTGGTGGGGAGCAGGCCGCTCTCACCCCCTCTCATTTCCCCGCACTCAGCCTGGAGCCACCGACACCCCTACACACCCCCTCTCCCACACACATGCAGAGCCCCAGAGGCCCCCTTACTTCCTGGCCCAGCAGTCCCCAGCTCCGCTCAGCCCTGGCCTGCTGCCCGCCTGCCTGCCTGGCTGGACACCAGCTCTACCCAGCTTCCTGCGGCCTGCGGTGGCCTCCTCCCCTCCTCCCGTGTTAAAGGGCCAGTCCCGGCCCCAAGGCTCAGGAAGGAAGAGGAAAGGAGACAAGGGCAACCCTCACTGCCCCCACCCCTGCACTGCCCACAGCACCTGCATTACCTGGTCCCGTCTGACAGATGAGGAAACTGACACTTAGAGAGTGGCCCACTTGGCTAAGGCCACTCAGCCAGTAAAGGGCAGAAACATCCTTTACCCCTACCCTGGACCATATCTTCCATGACATCTCCAAATCTTCCTCCAGTTCCAATGCTCATCCCCAATGCCAAGTCGTTTCCCCTGAACCATTGTTGGGGCCAGCTTAGGTGTGAGACTTATTGGGGAAAACAAGGATGAGGATCAGCGAGCAATTATTATCTATCATGTGACAAAGGCATATTGTTTTTCCAGAAGCACCTCTCTCTCTCTGTTATTTTACATTCAGCATAATAACCCAAACAAACATCTACTGTCCAAATGAACGACTCTGACCATTCATTCATTCATTCAACAAATCTTTATTGGACACCTGCTATGTGTCAAGTCCTGGGACTGCTAGCATCAAAGAAGACACCTTGTCCACTGCCCTCATGAAGCCTTAATGGGCCCATTGAAGTGCTATCAGAAAGGGGCAGCACCGAGGGAGTGACGGTGGGGGCCCAGAGCAGGTACCTTACCTGGCCCTGGGGGAACTGGGAAGGCTTCCTGGAGGAGGGGACGTCTGAATTGAGTCAGGTATCAGGAAACACGGAGTGCAAAGGTCTGGAATTGAAAGATATGATATATTTCTGGGACTAGAACAGAGAAGGCAGGGATGAGGCTGGAGAGCAGGACAGAGGCCAGAGTCCACAGCCCGCCTGGGCCAATGGAGAGTCGGGGCCTTACCTGGGGCACTAAGGAACCACGACCGGCTTTAAGCAGGGGGTGACATGATCAGATTCATGTCTTGTCTCTATCACCATCTCACCGGGTGGACCTGAGCCAGTCCTGCCCATCTCTGGGCCTCGGTTTCCCCATCTGTAAAGTGAGAGGACCAGCAAGGACTCGGCAGCCCAGCTGTTCTGTATCCTTCTTGGATTGTGTGTGACTGGCCCAGGTTTGATGATTAACTCCCAGTCCCTTGGGGTCAAGTCGAGCTGCTTGGCCAGAATCCTTGATGAGAACACTGGCAACTTCACCCTCTTCCTCAGCATTAAACATGCCCAACCCTCGTCCGGTGTCCTGTCCTGGACTGGGTGCTGGGGACATGGAGGGGGTGGGAAAGACCTAGTTCATGTCCTGAGGTGGCCCCCAGCCTGGAGCGGGGAGGAAGACACCCAGTCCAGTGACAACTCTAACACCCTCTTGGAGAACAGACGGCAGTGGGGGGGAGGGGAGATCAGGGAGGGCTTCCTGAAGGAGGCATGGCCTTAGCATAGAATTCAGGCTTGGGCAAGAAGCATGGAAGCTGCATTTATTGCATGTCTACTGTATGCCGGGCCCTTTCATGCTGACCAGCATATTCTAAAGGTTTAATTTTTATTTTAAATAATTGGGTATTTCTTTCTGTGTTGGCAATTTTATATGTATATATATATATGTATCTCTATATATCTGTGTATACGTATACGTAGTCCTGGATGGTGCAAATGGTTAACATACTCGGCTGCTAACTGAAAGGTTGAAGGTTTGCATCCACCCAGAGGTACCTGGCGATCTACTTCCAAAAACTCAGCCATTGAAAACCCTGTGGAGCACAGTTCTACTCTGACATACATGGGGTCACCATGAGTCGGAGTCAACTTGATGGAAACTGGGAGGTATATATATGTATATGTTGTTGTGTGCCGTAAATTCCAACTCACAGCAACCCTATATGACAGAGTAGAACTGCCCACCCACATGGTTCCCCAGGCTGTAATCTTTACAGAATTGGATCACCGGGTCTATTCTCCCGCGAAGCCACTGGTGGGTTCCAACCACCAGCCTTTCAGTTAGCAGCTGAGTGCTTAACCATTGTGCCACCAGGGCTCACTTGCTTGCTCCCTTTCCATCTTCCTCCCTCTCTCTCTCTATATTTATATGTATAAAATAATATCAAACCCATAATTTCATGGATATTATTGCTTAGGAAGAAGTGAAAGCAGGCATTAAAGTTTGAAAAGGGAGTCTGTTTAAACAAAAATAAAGTAAATTCTAACAGTTTCTAGCATGGTGAGGCAGTACTGCTTATTGGTTTGAACACAGACCCTGGTACAAATAGCAGTTCCGTCACCTACTAGCTGTGTGACCTTTGTTTCCTCAGTGGTCAGACGGAGATCAGATATTACTAGTGTTTAACTGATATGAGAGTTAAATGAGGTAATTCTACGTAGAACATTGAGAACAGTAGTGACTACGGCTACTCTTGGTATTATTACTATATAGAAGTTACTGTTGCTGTTGGGTGCCGTTGAGTCAGCTCCAACTCATAGCGACCCTATGGACAACAGAATGCAACGCTGACCAGACTTGAACCATCCTCACAGTCACTGCTATGGTTTGTTTGTTTTTTTATACTGTTGTATTTCAGATGCAGGTTTACAGAACAAATTAGCTTCTCGTTAAACAGTTAGTACACATATCGTTTTATGACATTGGTTAACAACCCCATGACATGTCAACACTCTTCCCTTGTCGACCTTGGGTTCCCTATTACCAGCTTTCCTGTCCCCTCCTGCCTTCTAGTCCTTGTCCCTGGACCGTTGTGCCCCATTAGTCTTGTTTTGTTTTATGGG